GACATATCCATAGAGGGAGAGATGTGAACGAGGTAAATATAGTAGTGACATCCAAAAGAAGCTCAAAAAACCGAAGGATTACGTTTTTATGGCCCCTTTTTTGCCAAAAAGACTTTTATTAAAAATTCAATGAGGAACTGGAACAAAATTTCTCAATCAATCTTTCTCTAGGCTTCGATTGAGCGTTGGAAGTTCATGAAAGCCGCTGGAGTTCAATAGAAACGAGAAACTGCGCTCAAATCTTGCGCAGAGAGTCGCTACTTAAATGCTGGTCTATCTCGTTATGGAGTGATTTTCAAGACCCGCGACGTTGTCAGTGCTCCTGGACGTCTCATGAAGATCACAGCGATATATAATGTTACAGGGTTTCGTTATGATCCCGCGGAGATCAATGACCAGAGCCAAATGCCCCGCCGGCTCTGGTCTGTCTCCGCTGCTCGTCTGCGTCTCCGCGACTTGCGCGCTACCTCGCTACCACATAAGCGGGGCGCGGGGCATTTGGCTCTGGTACCCTTTTCTTCGTTTTCGGGAGCCCAATTTCGACAATCTATATATCATATTAAAGCTCTTGATCTTTATTTTCACGCTGACAACGTCGCAAAACTCCTTTTTATGATTTAAACGAGAAATATAGGAAAAACTGAGTTTTCGAAAACCTCTTGTTTTTTCTTCAGTTCAACTCTTTTCACTCGGTTTTTTGTGTATTCGATAGGTCTTGTTTCTGTCTATAATGTAGACAACGTCGCCGAGCTTACTTCTTTGCTTATGCCGGTTTTTTGTGTGAAAATTACCAAAAAGTGCGTTTTTCTTTACCTTGTTCTTTTTCAATGCTTTTGCAACGAATTTTCTCCAGCTTGGACGTTACTTGCTCAGAATGATGAGCGGAAGAATCCAGATAACGTCGCAGGTTACGAAACGACCATGCGGGGGTGAAAATTCAAAGGACGCGTCAAAAATCAGATTGGCGTCGATGTGCAGCATAACTTTTCAGACATGTTTAACATGTTCAGTTTAGTTGTTGACAAGTTTGCCTTCTTTCGGTCTCCCAACTACAGCCACAGCTAACGCTTTTTTTTCAATTAGAAAAGAACTTTGTTCCTGTTGCCACCCAATTTAACCGGCAATTCTGAAGACAAAAATGTGCGTAGGAAACCACCAAGATAAGGTTTTAAATTAGGTGATGTGTTAGCTTCGGTTTTATATGAATTTTTCAAGTTTCCTGGTTCAATTCAGATCTCTAAATTTCCATCTATTTTTTCTAAAACAACCTTCACTTTTTATAGGAGGCAAGAACTCAAACAACTATCACTTTCTAGGCTCTATCTCTTGACTATCGAAGGTATGGTCTAAACTTTTTCGCCGACTTTACAGTCAGTCAAGTAGCTATGCTATAAACATACTTCATCGTCCTCGTTTACAACGCACGATTCAAAGTAATGGCTTGGAGGACATTAGGTCGCCGAACGGCTCCACTCTCGCGGCTAGCATGAGGCAGTAATGGTATAGGCTCCTGATTTGTTGCAAATGTCCACGGCGGGACCGTCCATTTGGCGACCTAATGCCCTCTACCCAAGGTAATGCAATGATGAATAAAGTTTACAGGGCAGAGGAAACACAATACACCAGATGAAAGCAAGCTATTATTTATAACAGCGATAAAATCATCGGAGAATGCCAGCTTGAACATATAGAATTTCATTTGAAAAAAAATTCCACAAAAAGTAGCTTTGAAGAATAAACTTTTTTGATAAGATATAGATGAGGCAGAAGAATGAAGATGACTCAAACAACGTTACATTACTGATTTTCCTGTTGCTTTTTCAGAGCACTAAAGTGAAAAAAAATGAATTCTGGCTATCATCTCGTGTAGGAAGTGCTCAGGTTGGAAGTCAATGTGATTTAACAAACTATGATGAGGCCCGGTAATCTGCTAGGGCATTCTACATGAAATCGTAGGCTCACTTGTGTTCGCAGTAATGAATCTTAGCTACTAGTAGTCCACTCATGTATCAAAGTAAAATGGCTTATCGATCACTGTTTGGCTCAGTAATCTAAAAATCAATCACTTCAACTCCTTTTACCAACATTCAGTCTGTAGTCTTGGACGAGACTGGTCAATCTAACGATGAAAATTAGATGAGTGGTAAAAAAAAGAGCTGGCACTAGCGTAGTAACGATGAAAAATGCTTCCTAGGATAGAAGCATGTTTGTTTTCTATTCTCAAGCAATAGATGCTATTTCTGAAATTAGGAGGGAGTTGCGAAAGAGCACATTGCCATTGCGTCATGCAGTTTGGTGAATGCATGGGCCATTGGTAATCAAAGACGCCTTAAACTGCGGCCAAATCTGCCTGATTCCGTTACAGGACCGTTTTGCAGATACGGGTAGTGGGAGAATGATATGCGGCTTGTGACAAGCCACCCTTGAACATAATTTCCAACTTTTGTCAGAAGCAGCATATTTTCGCAGCTGTTAAAAACTTCACCTGAGTCTTGTCCTCTCCGCGACTTCTTCTTATCACAACAACAACAATAACGACAACAACTATCATAATACTGGCCAACGCAAACAAAAGCGAAAATCCGATAATGAACAATTTTCTTGCTGTAAAATAAACACCAATTGTAGTGCTTAGTGCCGAACAAAGGTACCAAAGCAGCTTTGAAGGAAGTGCCTAGACACGTTCGTAACCGTATTTAGCGGAAGACTTGCGCCGGTTGCATGCTTTTGCAGGAGCCTTCGCGAGTGATGAGTCCCCTATACAATCGCGTGCGATATGCAAAGTGCAAACTGCAAATACTGTAACGGGGTCTGATTCGGGGATCAGAATTCAGCCGCGAGTGATTATCTGTGTCTCCGCTTGCGCCATTTGTTGAAGGCAACATCCGGGCAAGATCTCGAATGGAATTTTCTTCGCTTACCTTGGCTTACCCTTCCCGCTGATTCCGAAAATGCAGGTCGGAGAGCACGAAAACGAAAACGGGCTTTTTCAAAAGCTCTTGATTTAAATTTTGCCGCCTGCCGCCAAGGTTGAGAAGTGGCGACCGGGGCGTCCCGGTCGCCACTTCTGAAGCGGGTTTCTCGCTTCAGAAGCAAATTGGTGCATTGCCACTTGGGCAAGAGCCTTACCAGGACGGGAGCCCCTGAACTCTACTTTTTCGTTTTTGCCCGGACGCTGCCTTTAACACGTTGACGACGGTGTCGCGCAATGGTGCGCGACAGGCAGTCTGTCCCTGTGACGATGTCGCGCAATGGTGCGCAACACCCTAAACATCAGTTTTAATGTGCACAATGGTCCCAATTTGTGTTCATATAGTTAAGTTGGGCTCGAAAGTATTTCATGTTGGCCCCGTCCCCTTTTTGGCAAACTCCGCTCACTCCATTGCCCTCTACAAAAAACTTTCTTCGTTCTCAAATCACATAGAAAAGCTCATAGATGATAGGGGAACCTCAAATAATTTTAATTTTGACCCCGCTTCCCGTAATGCAGGCTCCACCCCCTCAGTGTCAAGCTCCGCCCACTTTTCAAAAATGCCGGAATTTGCGCGAATTCATTGGTTTTGTGCAATTTCAAGCATTTTTGAGAAGTGGGCGGGGCTTGCCAAAAGTGGGCGGAGCTGCCCCGCCCACTTGCATTTGTGTATCTCCGCATAGATGCATGTATATACATGTGCAGCCTGCTGTGAAAATGCCCGGAAACGGTTCGTCCACAGGGACAGACCTTCAAAAAATGGCTCGTCCTCAACGTGTTAAGGCTTCAGAAATCAATTCCACGTGCGACCGACGTGTGTCCTAACCTAAAAGTTCCCTTCAAGCAGGCGTTGAGCTACAGTGTTAGCACTGCGCCTCACGCGCGTACGGGTAATACTCGCGTTGGCACTCCCATCGCGCTGCACTAAACTTATCAGTATTAATAAAAGATTTGGCCTAGCTACTTTTTTATGCTCGTTCAAACAATGTAGAAAGAGTCATGTAATTTAGACCAAATATGGCAGGCATAAAGTATGGGGGTGAAGTATGGGAGTGCGTCAATTCTGCTCCGCAGAGGCTCCCACTGGTTCTACTCCAAATGTCTTACTCACTCTCTTATGGCATTAAAATTTACCGTGCAATGATGACTATCACGAATGGATTGTAAGCAACCACTCATCCCGAAAGCTTCCTCATTAGAGATCGGTAATTTTGCATGAGTAAGTTCGAGTGAATTCGAAGGTTTTTCAGAAGTGGTAGTAATTTGTCGAAACCATCATTTGACTAGATTTTTATAACATGATATAACCAGCAGCTTTACATCATCTTTTCGAAGAACATAAATTTCAGTCCAAAAAATAAGCAGAAAGCCTATCCTTACATAGAATCGGCGCCAGAGTGTAACCGCAAAAATTATCAATTCGCCAAGTTTTTACTTTGAAAATTGAAAGGATTTTTGAATAGAGATGTAGCCCAAGATGAATGTTAAGCTTATGGCGACTATAAATCCAAAATAATTTCAGTAACCTAATCAAAATCGCATTTATTCTTCTGCGGAAAAATTTTTCCATCCAAAATTACCGATCTTGCATGGAAAAGCTTTGGAATGAACGATTGTTTAAACATTCGTGGTAATCGGCATCGCGCAGTCAGTTTCAAAGTCATTGTTATGCAATCACGATGAAGGCATACGGATAGCAGAGCTATGTTTACGAGTACATGACGCTCCTCCACGGAAATCGGAATGTATTTTCAATCAAAACAAGCCAAATAGCTGATTAATCAGTCGAATCTGGATTGTAAGATTTTCTTATCTATGCATTATTTTTTTAAACCAAAAAACGTTCCGTGTGCTTTAACATGCCTCACAAGTATTCACATTAATTAAAGAACTCACCCAAACTGTCTTCTTCTTTCTCTTCCGAAGTCTGCACACTATAGGTATTGTAAACCGGTACGTGACCCCTTGCAAACTCTTGCAATGCTTCCAAATCTGTTATACTCTGCTCGTCCTGATGCTCGATAACTAACGAACTTTTTGTTTGTTCAGAACCAACTATTTCTTCCAAATTCATCAGTGATAACTCTCTTAAGCCAGTATTATTAGAGATTAATAATGCCGCCCCTATAATGTGATGATTATCTAGGTACCCTTGTAAGTGTTTACCTTTTCTCTTTTTATTTCCAACTTTGCGTAGGTAGCTAAGAAAATCAAGGTCGTGTATTTTAGAATTATTTGCTATAATAATTGCACCATTTACAGTTTCTACTTGCTTGAGTTTCATGAGGTCCTTGGACACCCCTGCAATTTATTATCAGTCTCGGCGTTGTATATTAAGCAATCACAATAATTCTAACCGTTTCTTCCCATAATTTTGAGGTCCCCTTCAATGTATGCGCAGTGTTTAGGAAGCTTTTTTAGATACTCATCGTTAACCAAGCTACCTTTGCATTTTGACACTGAGAATTAATTTATATAGGCATGAATAGCGACTGTGCATTAACATACAGCAACGGTTGGTAAATGGTATCCCTCCTTCTACTTTCTCCCAAAGTTTCTCCTTCATATAGGTCACATCGCATAGCTTGGGGTTTTTCTTGAACGTCACGTAAGGCGCCGATCCTTTGAAATCAATGGTAAGAAGCCCGCGAATATCTGTCAAATTTCCATTGTCTTCAAAAATAAGTGCTGGACCTGAAACAAAAGTCTAGCCTTTTTTTATAATCAGAATCACTTGTTTAAGGCATTTTTCAGTGAAACAAAGGTAACATGTTTGAAATGACCATCTCATTCATAAGTTGTACCATAGAATCTCTATCAAAATGGTAGTCCATACCAGGGCTCGGCACGAGGTGGCTAGATGAAAATGGAAAAAAACGAAGTCCCCCTTGACTTTTGAGAATTTTTACGAAGTCCCCTTTGACCCTCAACCAAATTTCCTCTAAAAACCTGAAAAGTTCCCCAAAATCCCCCAAAAACGTCGACTAGAAAAAAAACGTCGCCAAGTCGCCAATTTTGCGTTTCTCTTCGGTCACAAAAACGAAACCCCCTTTGCCTTTCGTCCCAAAAACGATATCCAGCTTGCTTGTAAGCCACCTGTGCCGAGCCCTGATTCATACACATACAAAGCCGAGTGTTGGTAACTGCTAGCTAGCGTGTTCTTTGTAGAAACTTTTTCGTGTAGACAGATTGGCGCGAAACTTCGCACACATATATTTTCGACACCGATCCACCTTGTAGGCTACCTTTCGCGGCGAAATTCTCGCTCCTTCTGTTGGTTTATCAATTTTGAAAAAAAATGATGCATTAAATAATGTCAAACCGCTCCCAACTTTCATGTAATCAATAGCGGCAGAAGTCTTTTTTATTCCGCAATGAGGAAGGGCGGTAATTCAAGGCTATGCGATTAGGAAATCTAGCCTGTGTTGCGCGAGAAGCAGGAGAAAGCCAGAACGCAGTGAACTGAGCTTTAAAAGTTGTGCGTCAATCTTGCTCTTGTTTGAGACAGTCAATTTTCGATGCGGGCGAAACCGGGTATGCCAATTAATGTATAGATAGACTATTGCAAGACAAAGTTTTAATAAAGTTTGGTCTATACCTTATTTTTTCCATATTCAGAGTATCTTATTGCGAAAAAAGAGTTGGAAAACACGATTGATTAGGTAATAAGCATGCTAACAGTCTAATAAGAAAATATATCATAAAAACCAGTACTTCCGTCAATCTTCAGAGAAGAGCTTGGATGGCGCAAATCGATCGCACGTTTACGCTGTTCTCTCATGCAGCTTTGCTTTGACCGAACGGCTAGCCACCCTGTGGGAACGGCCATAGGTTGCCGGCAACGGTTATCGGTGTTGTCGGGGTTGTCAGAGTTGTCGGGGTCAGAGACAGTGCAGAGAGCGCGCGAAACGTGGACGGTATCATGAGGTCCTACAACGACCGCACCTCGGCAACCCCGACAACCCCGATTACACCGACAACACTGATAACCCCGACAACACCGACAACCGTTGACGACAACCTACGTCTCCCGTCGAAGTTACGAAAGTTGGTCGAAGCGCGACTCAAGTTGCCACTACTATTCTTATACTAAAATTCTAAGGAAGGGCAACTACAAATTGTCTGCCAAAATTCAATATTGCTAACGCTGCAGCGAGTTGGCTGAAGGCCGTTTGACCTTTTAGGCCTCAGACAAAGTTCACGCGATTTGATCGTCGCGATTCAATCGCGGCGATTTCCATTCATTTTCATTTTACATTCAAAAACTTCGGGCTAGAAAAGTATCAGAACCGAAATACAAGCTGGTCGGCATGCAATGAACTCGTAACAGTTGTCTTGTCGCGATTGAATCGCGACGATCAAATCGCGTGAACTCTGCCCGAGGCCTTAGGTGCTTTGGGTTTCTGCGAACTCTGAGATGATATATTACATACCAGTGCTTCGCCTCTGCGCCTCAGAGGCTCGCGCTGGCTCCCCTATCTATGTGCCTTCCTCTTGCTCGCATAATATTGACTTTGGGGCTTAACATGTGATGCTGACCATCATGAACGAATTGTAAATAACAACCCATTCTATGAGCTTTTCCTTATGTGATAGGACCACACCACTTCGTGAGCAATCCCCTGATCTTCCATTGTGCACAGCGCAGAAAACAACTGGTTCGAAATCGATTGTACGATAAAATTTTCAAGTCGCAAAACTGTGTTGTGTGCACAAATGGAAGTTCAGGAGATTGCTCACGAAATGTTGTGGTCTATGAGTTAAAATGTCGAATATACCGGGCCATTTATAACAGCGAGATTATCGACCACTTTTAGTGCGTGTAAATAAACATTTGGCCAGCCAACGAAGACAGAGCTTCGTGAGCCCACTAGGGAAACATAGGAAGGAGCACCACGAAGGCGAAGATTTTGAAATAAGTTGTAACATACTGGCAGTCGAGGATAACATCTCAGACCGAAAGCGTTGAAAGTCGCATATCATCTTGCTCGAAATAGATAAATAGCAAGAATGAACGGTTGTCTATCACAAATGATCTTAGATCGTTTCTATCATTTTGGGTTTCTAGATAACTACAGCTACATTAACATGTCTAACCCAACTGGACTGTTCATTGTCACCATATCCTGTAGGCGACGGAAGAGCTTTTGTCGTGCTCTTCTGTGGAACTCTTGGTAACTTAATTCGGCGTGGACGATAGGCTTCGATCACTTTAAAGGAATCAAACGTACGAGTTGGTTAAGGCGTTTGACCGCATAAAGCTTTGATGAACGGGATTGAATCGCTTTCAGGCCTTTGAAAACGGCGTTTTTTTTTCGCCGAAAAAGGCTTAACAAAGAGTCCTGATAAAAACCTGTTATGGCATAGAAGAAGCTAAACGATAAACTATCATCATGCCAAGGTTTAAAGAAAGGGGAAATTGTAAAGTAGTTTTGTCCCTTTTTCACTATTTGTAATTGGACGAAGGGAATTCTAATTTCCAGTCTCGATTACGTTAGTTGCGAAAATTTCGAATCAACTTACCTTTTGGTGAGGTGATTCTTAGGTTTTCAAGCTCTCGTAAGTCGGTTTCTTTCCTCTGCCGAAACAATAAATTCCCTTCTATTATTTTTACTCTTTTTAGGATCTTTTTTAATTCATCAGAATAAACCAACTGTCCCGTTAACCTATCACAATCGAACTTTTTAGATAGCAACTTTTTTAGTGCCTTTTTCTGATCACAGCCTGCAATCTCTTTGGGTTAAATTTAATAAGTTACAAAGGCATACCTATTGCTATGACAGCGCATCCATGGACAAGTATTATAGAAACAGGCAAGTACTGAATCAAGAGCAAAGATGGTTTGGACGTTACAGCTTTCGAAACCAACCATTTGAATATGTAAACTGATAGAACTGAGACTAACGAAACATAGAGCTAGAAATGACGCGAGATTTCAGAAATACCACTCGGAGAAACACTTATCATCTCTCATTCAAGTAATTCAAACCCACAAAATCGGTCATAAGTTTTTACTGCGGCCGTACTCATCATTGCCATGAGACGAGAGAAATTCTAGATTTTTGTGAGATTATCAGGTGAAGGGCCGGGCGTACTTCACGCGATTCCAGTCGCGGCGCGATTTGGCAATCCGCCAAAAGTGTTCAGATCCAACACTAGCAAACTGCACATGCATAGTGTGTAACTCACGTGGTTTGATAAAATGCTCTATCCTCTGTACATTTTAAATCTGCTTACAGTGTGTTATGTACAGTTGGAATATTGCCAAATCGCGTCGCGACTAAAGTCGCGTAAAGTATGCCCGTCCTTTAAGCCCTCGGACAGAGTTCACGCGATTTGATCGCCGCGATTCAATCGCTACAGACAATTGTTACGAGTTCATTGCATGCCGATCTTCTTGCATTTCGGCTGTGATTTTCCAACATGACTAATCGTGAACTGACTATCACAACCGAAATACAAGAAGATCGGCATGCAATGAACTCGTAACACTCGTCTGTAGCGATTGAATCGCGGCAATCAAATCGCGTGAACTCTGATCGAGGCCTAAGGCCCGTATTCAACTTCAATTCGAGGAAATTGCTTAGATTATAACGTCTTTTATCGCTCGAGGTTATTTGAATAATATTAGGTTGTCCCGAAAGTTTTGTCCGTTTTTTCAACCTATCATAAAAACGCGTGGAACGAAGACAGGGAAACGCTTTAAGCACTATCCGACACATCTTTCTCTTCTCTTTCTAATTATCGTGCTTCCATGCCGATTAATCTTTTGTTCACTGAGATAAACGCCGAAATTTCGAACCCATGGTTTTTACTATGTCCAAGTTTGGCAATTTTTCACAATCTTTATTTTTGACTTTCGGAAAAGCTTTGGCAACAGTTAGATAGAGCAAACAACTCAGATAATCGCCGGGGGCAGGCGGTCCGCAAACTCGCGCTTTTCTGCAGGCGGTCAGCAGAAATTTGGGGCGTGGCCAAACCTTCAGCGGGCGGTACTGGCGGTAATACAGAATTTTCTGCGAGCGCTCGTCAAATAATATCTTCCAGCGAGCGCTGGCCAAACTTTCAGCAAGCGCTCGGACTCTTTTTACGTATTTTCGGGCGTACGTCGAGCGCAGGTAAGACTCTGTGTGGCAGAGGTGTCACCGTTGGTTTAATTACTCAAGTTTGAGGTACTTTCTCTCAGCGGAAAGTACCTGGGGGTTGCGCGGTCTATACGAACTTTCGCAGTTCGTATGTTCTTTGCGCCTGATATGAGTCACAGCAATCAACATCTGGCGCAGAGCTACAGCTGACTATCTGTGGAATGTGGAGGCTGAGCTAAAAGCGCATAAAAGAAGATAGAAGCAGTTTAGAGAAACATTTTCGTAGAATGCCATGTTGCAATTCCTCCCTTTCAATTTTATTTCTCAATGTAGCTAATCTTTCACTTCCTCATCATTTCTCATTCTTATAATTGCTTTTAGCTCACCGTTGACATTTTGCTCCTTTCGCTCAGATGCATAGCAATCACAGATTCTAGTGGCATGTTATGCGTTCTCCATAGATTCACAGACAGCTTCTATATAGTTAAAGTCACAGGCATAAGAGACCTGTGACTAAGCATATTCTATGCTTAGTCACAGGTCTGTTTATTTGTAGGATTCCAGAATGCTTATAGTTGCTCATTATTTATGCTCATTACTGTTTATTATCGATTGCTGTAGAGTCGCGTTTATGTGTTGATAAATTTTCTAATAAAGGTTTAATTACCCAAGTTTGAGGTACTGTGCGCGCAGTGCAACAAACAATCAAAGTCCCGCGTGGCAACAAACAACAACGTACAGTCCGATATAAGACACCGAACCTCCGTACACGGTCCTCCACAAAGGAACGTGCGGCCCTCGAAATTTTTGCATATTCTCGCGGAAAGTCCGCGACAATGCGGCCACGGCGCCGCAGCTAATCCATAAAGAAACCGCGATTTTTCTTCAAGCATTCGTCTTTAATTTTGCCAACTTTCTTCCAAATTTCTGCAAGCGGGCCGCAAAAAATCAACGAACTATTTTTCCGGTGCGCGCTTGCTCAAAATTCGCATGGCCGCCTGCCCCCGGCGGTTATCTGAGTAAGGTGTTATTTCGATGCAGCTTCTCCTCCTCTTTCTAGTGAGTGTATTTTCTCTCCAATTTGCGGGGTCTTTGGCGATTTTTTCACAATTCTTGAATTTGACCCCACCTCAGCGTGTACACGTAAAATGCAAAATCTTATATTTCGAAGCGGTAAACGCTCATTTGCTTCGTAAAATAGTGAATAATCGTAATCGGTTTTTGAAAGCTTCAAAATTCGATGATTTGTTAGTGTTCGAGGCGTTTCTGCATTTTAGAACTTCGCAAAAGTGAAGACTTTTGAAACAATAATCTTTAAAATATTGAAAAGCCAGCTAGTATAATTGTATAATAATTGTATTGCACTACCCTTTGCTTACCCTATCTGAAGGCTATCAAAGTCTTCCAAAAGTTGGAAATGAAGATTGTGAAAAATTGTCAAACTTAGACATAGTAAAAACCATGGGTTCGAAATTCCGGCGTTTATCTCAGTGAGCAAAAGAGTAATCGACAGGTGGGCTTGACACTTAGAAAGAAAAGGAAAAGAAGCGTCGGGTAGTGCTTAGGGCGTTTCCCTGTCTTCGTTCCTCGCGTTTTTATGAAAGGTTAAAACGGACAAAACTTTCGGGACAACCTAATATTTGTATTTGACTGAAACCATATTGTGTAGGGTGCATCTGTGAGCGTCCGCGCGCGCCACGCTCGGGACGTTCAACCTACAAGTTACGATTTCGTGCAGTCGACATTACCTGGAAATGGATTTTGTGTAAGATAAAGGTTACCTTGAGGTAAGTTTCATACATATAAGGTAGTTATATCACCCATAAATCGGTATTCATCAAACATCACACTTTATCTTGGGGTGTGCAATCACAGTGCAGATAACCTTAGCAAAAGTTCAAATTAGAAGGAACATCGTTAGAGTTCTACAAACATTCGAAAGCTGATTTTCTGCATAAACAATGCCACAACGTAACTTAGTCCACTGTAGCAATTCGAACTTCGCCGAGGTTAGCGAGATTATAGGGGTATGGAGAAAGCAGCGGGCATTTGATTGTTCCCTTTAACGTTAACGTCCAAACTCCTGCAAATTCAATGCTAAGCAGGGGGGGGGGAAGAAACTCGAAATCAGCTTTTTGAATGAGCTATATACCAATCTGAAAAGCATCAAACGCCTACTCCAAAAATGTTCGTTTTTTGCCAAGCGCCTTTAGACGTTAAATTATGAGTGTTTTTTGGAGTGAAAAATGATAAGAAAAACCAGATAAAATAGATGGTCATGTTCTTTTCAGCGCTCATATTAGGTTGATTCGTAATTAATGCACGTTTTCTATACTTTGATTTCAACCGAGTTAATTCTTTTTTAAAAAGACATTTCTGGGCGCAATAAAAACAACTGTAACCAACTCAGTGGCTATAAAACAGATGCTTTTGCATGATTGTATCTATCACAAGAAAGATTTTCTGGCCTGAAGATTGCCAACAACTTTTTCAGCAACCTCCATTTTGAGAGAGCATAATTTATGCTGAAATGAAGTAGGATAAAGCAGACTTCGCTCATCGTGTAGTCAGGAGTCTCTTGAACAGTAATGCCAAGTTTGGATTTAACGGAAAATTTTTGAAAGAAAATATTGCAAAAAGTAGAAAGTACTCACTTTTTTCTGGCACCCCGGCGAGTTCAGAAATCGGTCATTTTTGAAATTATTTCATTTTTCTTCGCTGAAAAGTGAGCAAACCCTAGCGCTTTTCTACCATCAAATTAACTAGGTCTACCCTTGCTGGATAGTGCAAAAGACTGCAATCGCCTTTTGCTTCAAAGTTTTATATGACACGGAAGGGCCGCGACGATCATTAAAGTTCGCAATTGAATTTCTCGGCTCAAAATTCACGGAGAATTTTGTTCAAACAGTATCTTGTAGCACAAAGCTTTATAATCCTTACGCATATTTTTTGAAATAAATCCGGTTATTCTTCATAGATTTAAGGCAAAAAGAGTGAAAACAAAAATTTTGGGATTTAGTCTCTCTTATTTAAAGGCTCAGAACTTTGGAATGAACGGACATTCACGAAAGCGAAGGGCCGCATAAGAAACTAGAAGAAACGCTCTTTTAGATGGCGTAGAAGGTTTCTGAGGAAATTGATTACACGTCAAATACCAGCACCTGGAAGAAGAGGTGAGAAAAACGTGCATTAATTATGAATCAACCTAATATAAAAGTGTTGAGTACGAGTATACTAGACGAAAGCTTTTTTACGCATAGAGTGTTTGATATCTAACGATGGGCCGTGTCTTGCGCAACCTTAAAGGCAGTGTCCAAGCAAAAAGTCAACTTTGAGAATTTGTGCTTACCCGGGCCTATTCGCCTTGCTGAATCCGCTAAACCACTTCGGAGAGCGCGAAAAAAGGCCCTAACGCAGGAGGGAAATCGGAGGTGGGCGGGGCCGTTCACACCATGACGTCACTCTTCCAGACTTCAGGAGCGATCTTCTTGGTTCCGATTTTATCTGCGTTCCGCAGTTGGCTGGTGGTGATGTTAGGGCGATTAGCGGTAGCGAGAAGATCGCTCCTGAAGCTGGGAGAGTGACGCCACTATGTGAACAGCCCCGCCCACCTGCAATTTCCCTCCTCGGTTGGAGCCTTTTTCGCCGTTTTCGCGTTCTCCAGTGTTGATTTTCGGATCCAGCATGGCGAATAGGCCC